CAAGGGCGGCCTTGGGGATGGCGGGGGCGCCTTCCGGGGCACCGGGCTCGTCGGCCTGCCGAAGCCGCGTTATCTTCTTCACTAGGCGTCGCTCCTTCTTGTTGGAAAGCTTTACCATGACGGATGGTGGGGCCCGCTAAGGGTGGTTGGGGGAAGCCTTATCGTAGTTACACTTTGACACGGGTTAGAATGTTAATGCGATTTCGATTTAGCAAACTAGAAATCAATTTAAAGGTAAAAGGCTGAGAGAGCAACTAATCAAATAGCAATTGACGTGAAAACACAACGTTTTTTATAACAGAAAATAATACTCCACTTTAAAGGACGTGTCTACTCCATTCAAATCAAACTTATAAAATAAACAGGAATGGCATATCAAATAGCAGGATGTGATTCAATAGTATTATTATTACTAGCTTTACTATTGAGGTGAAAATATATGTATACAAAGGAATTAGTAACGACTATAGTGATTAGAAAAATGTAATGATATCTAAGCTTAAAAGGTAAAAAAAAATTTTACATACCGATACATTACGTAAACAGGCGTCTTCTCATAAAGTTAGTTTTAGCTTAAACCTTAAAGAGATATATATTAGATGTTATTTGAAATCAAGTATGAACAATAATCTACCTTAAATATTCAATGTGTATCTGATTAAAAGACCATAGCGCATTTCCTCAGCCAAGACAAAAGGTCTTTCAAACCATGCGCGTTTTTTTAAGAGGTACGTCGATGGTGGAAACGGCGAAAATGCCACAAAAGGCTTTCCTGATAAACTATTAATTGTGGAAGATGCAGGGTTGAGCTTACAATGTGTAAGTTTAAAATTATCTCGTTGTTCATTACTTTTGAGTTTATCGGCCTTACTTTGTGTGCTTATCGCGTAGTTTGAAACAAGTTGATCCCTTGTCATGTCGCCCTCCGCTCGGTCCTCCCCTGAGGTTCGCTTAGAGTTCAAGTGCACGTTTAGGAGGTATATGTGTAATTCTGAGCTTGATTCAAGCGCCGCGCCGCACGGTACCCAACCTTTAGAATAACCCTTCCCTTTCGATTCGGTCTTCAACTTTCCAGTACCTTTGTCGGAAACCCGAAGAAAAGGGGTATTGGTGGCGTACGCATTCCAAGCCTCATACACCAAAATCGTCCCGGGAAAGTGGCGGTGCGGCGGGGGATGAGATGCAGCCGTGGCTCCTTTTGCCCCGTCCACTCGACCCCTCTCCCCCTCCGTTAAAGGAGAGGAAAAGGGCAGGTCCATGCGGTGCACCACACGGCCAAAGGACCCCCGCTCCTGATCTTCGGCGCGAGTGCAAAGCAGGGGGAGCTGTGGGAAGGAGAGCTGGCGTGAGGCCTCACCAGGCGCGGATCCCCCCTCTCCCAAGGGATTGTGCACATGGAGGAGCATCTCAAAGTAAACACACTCCTCGGCTAAAAGCAGGAGAACGCCAACGGCGTGCCGTTCGATCCACGACTGCGTTGTCGCCTCCCAGCCTAATCCCGCGGGGCAATCCGAGGTCCCCACCACCCCCATGGCCCCATTGCCCCCAACAAAAGGAAGAATATTGCGCAGGTGGGCATTCAGGGGTACACTCCACCAGTTCATCACCCCACCGCTCACATCTTCCCTACGAGAATGAAGACCCAGGCCAGTACAACCACGAGAAGTGCGCTGATCCACGTAGCTCTGCGGTCGCGCAAACGTAAACCCAGAAATGTGAGGCTCAGGTTGAGAATGTGGATAGGAAGGATGAATATCGGCTCCGATGGAGTTGCCGTCTTCACAAACTAAATTCTGCCCCAGTTTTAGATCCCCACTTCTGCTCTTTGTTGCCTTTTTACCAGGAAGTTCCGACTTAAGATAAGAGGCCTTGCTAGCAGCACTTATGAGGGGCATATCGCCTCGGGGGACAGCAGGGAAATCCGCTGGTTCATTTTTCAACTCGTTCGAATGTGATACAAACGTACAGGCGGGGGATTTAAAGGAAGAACCTTGATCTAACCCATCTAACGCAACATTTGTCCTTTCATGTTTTCCATCGCAGTAGGAAGGGCAAATAAACGAGATATACTCGTTTAAGGTCATTACAGTAGCCGTCGCCCGGATCCGATGCCAGACCTGAGGTGAAACCTCAGAGGGGGTAGAAAATAACGGCGACGCTTCGCCATTCACCACGTCATCCTCAGCGACACGTTGTTCTAATTTCTTTCCAACATCACCTCCATGACTCTTGCATTCTTCACGTGCAGCGTTAAGGTTTCGGCTCACCATGTTCGCCTTGTTGAAACTAGAAAAGGGATTCGTTGAGGTGCTACTAGAACGTTTGCATAGTATCTGACTTATTAAACCGGCTCCTGTTATATCATTTACTGTCCATTCATAATTTAAATTGGTCGGTGGTTGAGGAAGACCGGGTATCGCGTAAAAACGGCCCACCGCTTTGTAGATTGAGCCGCTATTATAATAATACATATAGTAAACAGCGGGCGTTTCCCACATACAAGAATTTTCCTCCGCATAATAATCAGAATCAACACATTCAGCATCAGTCTTGCTCGAGTTACGCTTGCGTAGAAAGGTATCAATCATGCTGAGCCATAGGCTTTCCTTACAAGTATGATCGATGCTGCGCTTGTCTGAGCCGTCATCGGATGTGGAAGACTCGGCCTTTGCGTGAATACGACTCTTCTCATTAAACATATCACTAGTGGGAAGGTGAAGGAATAGTTTAGACTGTGGTAAAACCTGTGATAAGGTGGAGATATTAGGTTCAACCATAGCCACAGTCGCGACACGGATTAGAAAAAGCCTATCCCAGTCGAACGACGCCTCTGAAAAACATTGAGAAGAAAAGGGCACCGATCTGAACTGGTTTATCCCTTCTCTAGGTTTCGCCTCGTCGTTCTTGAGATATTTCTGGTAAGACGGAAACTTGAAAAGGCTGGAATTCCTTTTCCCTTCCATATTTTGAGAGGAATAATACCCGAGGCCTTGACGGTTAAATGAGGAACCATGCAAAGTCCAGAGGCCGGTGGCTAAACCCATCATTATATCGGTGTCCTTAGAATAAGCATCTTGTGACGTATATTGAATCCCAGGCGTGGTTTTAAGTCTACTGCCATCAAGACAACGCACATCCCGTGGAGGGAAAAGTTTTAAAAATTCACTAATAATCGTGCTGGGGGTCACTATCATAGTTTGATAATTAAACGGCGAAGCGCGCATGGAAGAAAACATGTTAGTTTTTTTACGAATTCCACTAACTGAAGGCAAAGATTGCTGTTTTAAATATGGTGTACGAAATTCTTTGTGAGCAAATGTCTGACTATCGCGACGATGAAGCGAAGCCCAGCGTGAGCCTCCCTGCTCCATCGCATCTGTTTCCGAAGAGGGTGCTTGTAAGCGAAAGGGTGAAGAACATATTTTGCGCTTGAAAAGAGATACTGGTCGAATGTTTGAGGTTTTGCTCATCCTGCTGGCATGTTTCTTTTCTTGGAAAAAATTCGTTTTTTATATCTGATTTGTTGCTCGGTATTTTATTTGCACTAAAGCTATCCCACTTTGTTTCATATAAAATAGAAAATAATGAAAAAGAATCCAATATTTTTTTGAGAAAATTACACCTTTAGGATAAAGAAAAACAATATTTACACTCCATTAAGATATATAAAGTGAAATGCAAGCCACCATAAACAAAATATGGGTTAAATTCGCTTCATTTGCATATTGTTACTTGTCAATTTTGATAAGAAAAAAAAACATAAAAATCAAAAAGGCCTAATCATGAAAGAATTTAAGAAAAGTTTTAATTTCCATTTTTCCAAAGAAAAGTGATAAAACAAGCATAGTTTGTACTATTGTAATTAAATCAAAATGGGAAATTCGACATTTTCATCTTAGAAAGCATTGAATTCAGCAAGAAGTGATCTTGTAAATTTAAAAAAAATGATGATCTGAAAAGTTGTTATTGATTGTGTGTGTATAAAAGGAGAAAAGAGGAAAAGATAACAAATGTGAAATATTCCTCCTTCGGTGTTTACATATTATCCTCATCGGAATCATTCAGCACATATTCATCAACTCTCCCTTCATCCATTGCTTTACGTACTTCTTCTCCGGAAGGTAGCTCAATATTTAATTGATTCAATGATGGCAAATCCTTTCTAATATCACGAGCACTTGGAATGTCAGCCAAGGTTGTAATTTTTTTTAAGAGTGAACTCTCAGAATTATGTATCGGAATTACACAGCCGTCATTAGACGTGCCGCACTTGGAGTTTGTATATAAGAATGTTCTTGGATTGTATAGAGCAGGATGTAGTGCAAAATACATGGTAGGTGCACAATAAACACCAAGCATCAATTGTTGTTTTGGGGCATAACCGCTAAGACGGCTAGATTGCAAACTTCGAAATAATGGAAATACTCTTGCACTCATATTCAAATATTATTAAATGATTTTAAATATTCTCTGACTTTGCGTGGAAACTTATTCGGCTTTGTGCAGACATGAGATGATATTTTGTGTAGAAAAATGTAATAGAAGGGAAAAGGTAGTACAAAAAAAAAAGATGTGCGTAGGGTTATTAATCTTTCATTGGAAAGAGCAACAATTAGTGTATATTGTTCTAAGAATCACTTTAGTCAACAAAGTAAAACCCGCTTTCTCTCGAGCAAGAGATGCAGAAAAGAGAGTGTTGGAATTTTCTTATCACAAGAGAAGAAAAGACTCTTCATGTACACCAATACTAGCACAGTGTCATAAAATAACCACTAAGGGTTACATGTCTACCAGTGTACAAAATAAAACAATGATTACAAAATCGAGTTGAATGTAGTTTAGCTCGTATATAATGTTTTTCATTTCTTCGTTTTGTGGGGTCTTGAATTCGTGTAACTATGTCATTATATGTGATGGCATCAGTCATCGGGGCTTCAGATAGTGATTTCTTCTTTGATGGATAAGTAAAGGCAAGATGAACGAACCCCCATACTGTGGAGTATAGAATGAACACAAAAAAAAAATGAAGTAAAACGATAGAGCTGCGAGCAAAAAATCTGAAGCATACCCCATCTCATTCAGGTATGATAAAAAGATGAAACGGAACCAGAAACTACACGAGACGTGGAACCTGGATGGCCCAGCATTCCCTCCCCCCTCTGTGGTAACTCACACTGACACTCCGTGTGGAAGCATAGCCCCCCACGGTGTCGGATCCACCGCAATCATAGCAATGACTCCATCACGCAAATCAATCGTGTTGTGACACCCAGTGGGCCCATGTTCCATACGACCCCTTAAAGGCTCGCAGTCTTCCTCGTTACAATTGGGCACACCGCAGGATGGACCCGGATCCTGCCGACCCCT